GTGATAGTGGTGCATGAGAATTGTGCTCGTATCAACTTATCATTATTATATATTTTTTTAAAGTCATTTTCAACACATAAGTCTTTGTTATACAAACAAATGAGAATAAACAATAAAGAACAACCAAAATATTCATTTATCGCAGCAGAATATACACAAAATATAGTATAGCTACACGCATTTAAAATAAAGAACACTCGAAACATTTATCACTGGAGTAGAAAATACATACGCAATATATACATATATAAAAAATGACTGCCTATTTTAGGTGTCACCTAGATGTATACGGGCAGCGTAACAACATGGTTAAGGGTGGCTTCAGAATTGTTTTGGATGGTCAAGGGTGGCTTCTAAGCTTACTATATGCTGGCAGAGGAATTCCTAGGTATTTGGCTCCAAGTTGTATCCTGCCGTAGCCTTTTCGAACTGGCTGGATACCTCGAGATCATCCTCGAATCCGAGTTTAACTTGGTTAGAAAGTTTTGCGTGACTACCACTACTGTGGATGTCACAGTACTCCTTTCAATTTTCTAATGGGATAGCTCGGGCATAGAGCTTTTGTGCATGAATACAAAATTTAAATTGCGAAAATATAATTGCGCAAATAAGTAGTGAACACCCAACACATAATAAAAAGTTAGAAAACTTATCAAACTTAGTTATATAGTTCGACTCTCGAATGTCCCCAGCGGAGTCAACATTTGTCGCAACCTTCCCTTAGGGGGGGTCGGGGTCGCGTTCGCTTTTTGGGAGTCGCCATCGATATTACTTGGAGTGGATCGAACACTCTTCGGTCAGCTCTTACCTTAGGGTCAGAACCGAGACATGGTCTGCGAAAATAAAATTTTGGGTTCGGAAGTACGATTACGTGTGGGGAAGTGAAGCAACACCCCCACAACGCCCTAAATCGGTACTACTTGAGTTTATAAGTTTTATATTAGTTGGGTGTATTTTAGTAATTATGTAATTTTTAAAAAAATCCCAATGGACCATTACTATATTGCTATTTCATTGGGTATAATTTAACTAAACGTCCACTGACGTATTAGTTTATGATTAGGTATTTTAGGTCTTTTAGGGCCTTACTGGACCACTAAAGAAATTAAATCGTATTATAATTTAATTATACACCCACTGACGTAAAAAGTTGAACATAAAATTGATTAGTTACTTGGACTCGAACCTTATCGGTTGTCTACGTATCGGTTAGACGGGATAAAAGTCCACGTAGTTCGTTTGGGTAACCTTGATAGTGTTAAAATTTGACTTTTATCACGTTACACTTATAGTAGTTCTCGTATTAAGAATTTTTTTAACTTTGATAGCTTTAATCATAATTTTTATCATGTTCCACTGAACGTAGTTCTCGTATTATAATTTTGTCAATAAAATTTCATTTAGATTATCATGATGTTATGAAAATAAATGCAAGGATTTTAGTTGTTAAGAAATCTGATGTATTAGAAAAGAAACAGGATTAACATAATCCGCATTCGAAAGTATTAAGGATATTAAATAATAAATAAAATTGAATAATTAAATTTACACATGATGTGCAAGCAACCCAACTGGTTAAGTCACTATTTGGGGGTGTACACTTGACCCCGAGGACGAGGGTTTGAAAGTCGGCTACTACAATTTTTTTGCAAGTCGTTTTAGGTCAGAGACGCGCATCGTAACCCAAATTCCAACTTCTAAGTAAATAGTTCCTAACTATGAATTTCGACCAATATTAGTAAGATTACCATTGCCTTCCTATCCAACTCGACCAATTTCAAACCTATGCCACCAATCGTTAAATGAATACGGTAAAATTAGTATAGGTTGTGATGACATACTACTGATGTTCTAAATAAAGTGAATTTGGTAGCTATTAGTCAATGCTAATCTTACCTAGTACAAATATTCGAACTAAATAAAAAGCGAACATGGAAATCGTTGGTGCTTATTGATTCGCCATTGCTAATCTCAACCAACCTCATCCAAACTTTCACTTCAATTTCCTTTTGAATTTTAAGATGTTCTTCCGAGTTTTGAGTAGGATGGTTGTTCCGGACTTTTGGAGAAGATATTTTTTGGAAAAGATTTTTTTTTGGCAAAATACACTTGTATGTATAGCTAAAATTTTTACGTTTGTGCCAATAATAGCCAGATTTGGAGAAATATACCACTTATAGCCAGCTTTCAAAGTTGTTGTATGACAAATAGCCGTTTCTATTAGATACTTTAACGGTGTTATTAACACCGTCAATTTGACGGTTCGTTGACTAAGCACCAACTCAGCAAATACAACAGTGCCACATAGGCAAATAGTGACACGTCAGATATTTCAAATTTTTAATATTTACATATCATAAATTAAAAAAAACCTCACATACCCCATATAGGGATGGCAATAGGTCGGGTTGGGTCGGGTTTTTTCAAACCCAAACCCATGGGTTTATCCGTCAAAAAAACCCGGGGTAAAACCCGTTGGGTTTGAAAAACTCAAACCCAACCCAACCCGCTGGGTATCCGCGGGTTCATGGGTACCCGTGGGTTTTTGTGGTAAAAATTTACAATTAACAAGTTTCTTTCAAAATAAAAGTTTAACATCAATTTTCTCATACAAATTAATCATACAAAAAACACCAATCTAGAGCATACAAGCAAAGCACAAATGATCAATACAAATTATTCAAAATTAAAGATAAACATATATAAACAATAAGATTAATTGAAAGCTACTTCCTCGTCAACTAAGTTTCTTCACTCCCCACTTCATAATATCAACTTCATTCTAAATAATTAGAAAGAACAAATTATACATGTCTCCACAAACATATAGAATATTAGTTGTTTAAGGAAGATATGTTATTTAGAATATTAAATATACCGAGAAAGTAATTATATGTGTGTGGGCGGGTACCCATGGGGCGGGTTTACCTAAACCCAAACCCAACCCGACCCGGTGAATAGTGTAGCGGGTTTAAACCCGAACCCGGCCCAAAACCCGTCAACACGGATTTACCCGCGTTGACCGGGTTGGGTCGGGTGGGTACCCGTGGGTTCGGGTTTTGTTGCCATCCCCCCATCTGCTTCGACCCATCTTCCCCAACTTTTTCCCAATTTTGATTTTAGGGTTCTTCCCCAACTTCCATTACCCACGCGAATCCTCTCCTACGCCTTCTCATCCCTAATCTCCCTCTTCCATGCAACAAAAATCTCAAACCCAGAAATACCAAAAATCCCAAACCCATAAATACCCAAAATCTCTGGATTGACATTCAAGCATGAATCTATTTGAGCTAGGGGTTGGGGGCTCTACTATCAAATCTCCCAGCAGCGGACGGGAGCGGAGTTGAACAAGTAGGGATTGGGGGCGGCGATTGAAGGCAAGGTAAGAATTGATTTTTTGGCAGATGGATGTTTCGCTTGCGGCTCATCGTCACTGCTTCAGAACTCCGGCTCCAATGAGGATCTTCAACAGCTGGTGATGGATGAGAGGAAGAGGAAGATAATCTACTCGAATCGATCGTTGAGGCGGTTGCGACGCTCGCCTCACTGCCTCACTCCCTGCCTCATCATTTTCTCGGCCTCTGTTGCCGGCGATGGATCTTGAAACAAGGAAGACGAGAAAGAGGGGCGGCAACGGTTTCTCTGCGAAGCAACTGCGAGCGCAGCAAAGAGAAGCAGAAACGGAGGCAATATGTGTGGTTCAAGATGCAGAAACGAAAACTCATATTTGAAAGAGATGATTTGTGGGTCGGTTGGTATTTGGATTTGTGCGTGAAGATTGGTGTTCTTTGATTTTCCCAGATCTGCTTGTTTATTTTGTTTTATTTATTATTCACAAATCAAAAGATGACGTGTAAACTTTATGGGGTTTTTTTTTTGTTTAGATTTTATGTGGCCGAAGTGTTCATTTCCAATTTGAGGAGCTTTTTTTTATTTCTGGGCAGTTATTTTTTTTTTTATTAATCATTAGCCACGTGGATAATTACAGAGTAAAAGGGAAATAAAAGCTCGCCATGTAAGCATCTCCATTTGTCTAGTCACACTTAACGCTAACACCGTTAAAGAATTGGACGAAAGTAGCTATAAGTGGCATTTCTCCAAATTTCGCTATTATTGGCACAAACGCAAAATTTTGGCCATACAAGTGTATTTTGTATTGGTTTGGTAGCATGTTAGATTTGGGTGTTGTTTGATCTAAGTAGGAAAATTTGGTATTGATTTGTTTCAGAGAAATAAACATTCTTATTTTTTTTTCTTGTTGTTTTCTCTTGCGCCCCGTGGCATCACTCACGTACAACTTGTAAGGCATGTGAGGACTGAGGACTTCACCTTGAGGTAGATGAGTTACGAGATCAACCTAATTTTTTATATAATGGTGACATAATTTTTCCCGGTTGTGGCCTCCATTATTAAGCTCAAGCTTGACCAACTGCATATGATTGGTTACATGATGAATTTTATAATGATATATAGCATTGATGCTATAGGTTTTTACCTTTATGGTACAACTTGAAATTGTACCTTTAGTGTTATGGAACAACTTCAGATTGTACATATACTTTTTGTAAAAATTCTTTTATGGTACAACTTAAACTTGTACCTTAAGTGATGGTACAACTTCAAGTTGTAAAGTTGTATCATAACATAATGATACAAATTCCTTTATGGTACAACCTAAACTTATACATTTAATATTATGGTACAATTTTAAATTGTACATTTAAGCACCAATACTATATAGCATAGTAGAAGTGCTCTTGGTTACATATGTTGGTTTTTACCATTAGCGACTATTTAAAAGATTTGAACTTGAAACTTTCAAGTTGAATAATATATAATGATATTATCATTAGACCAGACCTCAACAACATAGAAATGTATGATAAAAACCACATTGATACACGTACCTCAAGTCATTACATTATAATGCCCCAAAATTAACTAGTTAATTAAAGAAAAGGCTTCCCTACAACCAATCATATGATAAATCCCACTATCATTTATAAAGCTGACATCACATGAGTAAACGTTTTGGTCTCATTTGGTGGTGACTTCAACATGCTTTCGAGCTCTTTCACAAACCTCTCCATTGCCTGCGTTGGCAAGCTAATAGCCAGAACAATCCCAGCCTCCCCTTCCTTGTTCTTACACGGTATACAAAAGTTTGCTAATCCCGGAACTGGCCCGACATCTGGCTCAGCCGGGCCACCATAAACAGGCGGGCCCCACCCGAAATCCACGGTCTCAAACCCGGCCCTTGTCACATCGGACACTAGGTATGTCCACCTTGTCTTCAAGAAATCAGGTCGTCCTGTCAACGCCATTAGGTCGGCGACTGACTTCATGTACTCCTCTGTCACCTCGCCTTTGGCCTTTCTCACGAGATCTAAAGCATAACCTAATGGGTTCCGGCATAGCTCGCCAGCCGGTGCCTCTGCCACCGCGAAGGCGAAGGTGTTGCCATAGTAACCTATGGGCAGTGGTGGATAGGAGAATTTTCCTCGCATGCTGACAAGGCAGATCATCCTCATCGTTTCTTTGGGGTCGGGCCGAAGGGCAACCGTTCGACACTTCCAGAGGCAGGATGCCAAGATCTCGAATCAGGAGTAGGATTGGCGGAGGTGCGGAGGAGCGTGGCGACGAAGGGCGGATAGTTGGGAGCAGCCGAAGAAGAAGGATATTTGCGCCATGCTATCGAAATTGTGAGGCATTGTTGTCAGTGTGTTGTTGTCATCGATGGTGGCTTGTTGTCCGTACTCGCGGTGGGTATGTGTCACGCGTGGAGGTGAGCGGGTACTAAGAAAATATCTTTCCCACACCGGAGGGATAGAGGGAGCGTGGGATCCTCGAGCGATTTCGCCGATGGCAGACATGAACTGGACCAGACCGGGATTATCACTCATGCAATGGGAAAGACGGAGGGCAAAGATGAAACTGCCACATTTGAGGCGCGTCACCTGTTGTATTTTAAGAGAATTAAAGCACAGAAATATTTAGAGAACAAATCCTATGCAGAATTTCCCTCTATAACCACGCACAATTCTATGTACTATTTCTGAAGGATAATTAACTTTTTCAATTTAATTTAACGGTTTTTTTTTGTTGTCAACAGAATTTTGATTTTTGTACACAAAAAAATCATATTAATTGAACTTTTCAAAATGATGCCGTTTTGATATATTTGGAACAAAAAACTGATATGGTAGTACATAAAATCATACTATGATAGTATGAAAGTGTATCATCGTAGTATGGATATACAATCGTGTTGAATAGTTGTAAACATGATTTTAAAAATATACACTAACTATCATTTACTAATTTTCACTAACGTCTACCACCGGTTGTCACCCTATACTATGATTTTACAAAGAAGATAAAAAAAAAACCATTTATTCTCGCCCTCTAAATCTGACCCCAATTAAATCAACCTACCAAAACTAGTCGCAGGACATTGACCCTATACCAAATATTTATATATGGGTAATCAACAGAAATTGTGACAATAATATTTTGCTAAAATTATAACACACACATATATATATATATATATATATGTATGTACACTCAGACGCATGACGCATGGATGTTTCATGTTTGTAAGGCTTTTAATAATGATGAACCTGAATAAGTAGGAGAGGGGAATGAAGGACGGCGTTAGAGCCGGGGACGTCGAATAGAAGCTCTTTCATGCAAGCAAACGGTGGCTGAAGCTGGTCCCCGAACTCCGTCAGCCGGACATCGGCGTCGGCCTCGACGAACAGCACGCCTTCGGCGGTGCACTCCACCATGAGCTTCCGGTTGGGCCCTTCCCTCAGGCGACCGGCGAACGGATAGTAAGGCACAAGTGTCTCTGACAACGCCCGCCGGATCACTGCCACGGGGTCGTCCTTCCCACGAATGGAAGGCGCGTGCTTGTAGAACTGAACCACAGGGATGTGGAATCGGAGCCCTTGCTGGTCGTCAATGTCGGAGAGGAGCTTGACCTCGTATGGGGTCGGTTTGGCCGGTCGGACCAGCTCCGGTTCGCGCCTGTGGACCTTGAACACCAGGGTGGAAGATGGTGCGGCCATTGGTTTCAATTGGTTTGGGTCTGTTTTGATGGAATCGGGCACTGCAGAAGCGAAGTCCTTTTGGTTGCTGTTATTTATAGCCCAAGGTTTGGGATTGGTTTTAAGTTCTCCACCAACGTAAAATATAATTAGTTATTAGTATATAAAGGGCAAGTGCCTGGCTATGGCCCAGTCAAACATTTGAACTTAATTCATTTCCTTATAAATCAAAGCAACGGGTAATATATATAACATATATAATAAACCAAATGGCGTCTGGTGATGTCTGGCGAAATAGAAAAGTCAACTTGAAATGGAAATTTTATTTATTTCATTAGGAATCAAAACAACTGGACCATATGCAATAAACCAATTAAGGATAAATGGTCTGGCAATGGTCGACCAAAATAGCAAAGTCAACTTCAAAAGTGTTGGCTTGAAGACTGCGGTTGAACTACTACGGCTCCACCTCCACCATGGTCAGTGGTTACACGGCTAAGCTACTTTCCATGGTGAAATTATTATTACACGTCTAATAGAGCAAGAAGAAGATGACTTCCCTTCCCATTTTTTTTTACCGTTATTGCTCACTACCCCCACCTACAATCATAAAGGCACCAAATTTACCGCCAAGTCTCAAAAGTAAGGCATTGTTTGTTTGTAGGATTTTTGTTATGTATTTGACAATCAAATTTCAAGCATTTTATATTTGCCAAAAAGTCACTGTTTGTTGAGGTATACAAATCCGTGAGGCTCACAGATTTGGTCTTTTCTAGTTCCAAATTTGTGAACCTCACGTATTTGTCAATACCACATTGTATATGGTATTTGGTCATGGAAGGCAAGGATTTGTGAGCCATGGTACAAAAACCTTGAAATTTAAGATCAAAATTAACTAAACAAACAATGTTATCTTTAAATAGAAAATACAACTAATCCATCATAAATCCAAAGATTTTCACAACTCAAAAATCTCATTTCTCACATAAAAAACCTTTATTTTCAAATCCAACAAGGAATCAAGAAAAATCTCTATCTATTAATTACCGTAATTAAGAGTAGTTACGTCTAGAAAGAATGGGTTTGACTTTAAGTAAAGAAAGCAGCTCTCTTTTCTCGTCATCTCTATCTTTCTCTTAACACAATGTGGAATAGGGGAAAAATCACAGAATACTCAATTTATTAAAAGAACGTCCCTAAATACAGTACTTATAAACTTCTTTCTCAAAGACAGCAGTTTCAACATCACTGTCTTATTCTTCGACAGTGATAATAATCACCGCTTTAGTCTAAAACGGGGAAGGTATCACCGCTTTCGAAAACAACGGGGAAGGTATCACCGCTTTCGACAACAACGGGGAAGAGATCACCGCTTTTGACAACAACGGGGAAGGTATCACCGCTGCCGTCCAAAACGCTGATTGCCTCACGGCTGTTGTGCAAAATGGTAATATTTGACCACGTTTTAGAGCCCTGGTAGGTGGAAAATTAGGTCACAGTGACCTAGCTATCACCGTTTTGTACAAAAGCGGTAATGTGTTCACCGCAATTGTCCACTGCGGTGATTAGCTGACATTTTTCCTTATAAAACTGACCCCCACGTCCCTCCTGCTGCCTTACATCAAAGTATTACAAAAATTAGTGGTTTTTTGGTCGTTTTCTCAGCTGGTTTGGAGTTGGTTTACTGCTCAAGAAACTCATCGGAATTCGGTATGTTATAATTATGTATTGTTTACATGTTGATGTATTAGTAATTATTTGTCTGTATGTAGTGAATTGCGGTTATTGACAAATATGTTATGAGATATTTAGATTAATTATGATATGATAGATGTTAGTTAATTAGTTAGTTAGTTATGAATTTAGATGAATTTGTTTAGTTTTCTCATGATAGATGAATTAGTTGCGTTTGTTTATGGGTTTGGATGATATTGTTTTTGTATCCATAATGTACTAATTATATACTATACTTAATTATTATAAATTGCAGACATGGGTAAATTTAAGAAGTTTCGGCTTATTATTCGGTGGAATGGTCGGGTGACAAACTCGAACATTGGGATCGACTATGAAAATGGCGAATCCACTATGCTAAAAATTGAGTCGAGATTCTCGTGGCAAGAACTCCATGACATTTGTGCAGAAAGGACTTGTACTGGTGGGCAAAGGAGAGTTGGTCAAATTACTTATCGGTATCCAAACATGAGTGCTGACGGAATCATGTACGAAAAAGTTGTCATAAATGATGATGACGCGGTGAACATGATGATACAGTTCCTATCTGATAACGGGGTGCGGCTTGCAGAGGTGTATGTCGAGACCGAGCCGGTCGGTGAAACTCATTCTCACCAGTATTCTTGTGATGATGGTTTTGCAGGAGGGTATGGCTGGGGTGGTAGTTCAAGTAACTACGGAGGAGGTACTTCTGCAGGAGGGTATGGCTGGGGTGGTACTTCAAGCAACTACGGAGGAGGTAGTTCTGAAGGAGGTGTTGGGTGGGAAGAATACCCACAACATGCTGAGACTGCCGTCGATATCGTTCAGCCCGACGGTGATTAATGGCCTGCTTGGGGTCCAGAGTGGGCTGACATTGAGAACACCCTTCGATCTCGGCGTACTTCGCATGACCAAGAAGACGATGTTTGTTATGCTGGTAACGATGACCATCCTGAGCCGAGCTATCCATTCGCCTCCAGTGATGATGAAAGTGAGGAAGATTTGAGATCAGTCAGTGAGGAGGAAGATACGGACGATATCAACGATATCGATGACAGAGAGGTGGCGTTCCAACGCCTTACTACAAAGAGGTTCCTGATCAATTTTTATATGGTTAGAATGATGCCCCTGACTTTCAGCCCATGCCTGTGTATAATTCGATTGCTAATTTGTAAGTGGGTATGGCGTTCACTTCGAAAGCTGATGTGCAAGATGCTTTTAGCGAAGAAGCCATGCGGCGTAACTTCGAATGGAAGGTAAAATATTCTGACACCAAACAACTGCATGTCATTTGTAAGAATGCTGGAGAGGGTTGTATGTGGCAACTTCGGGCTGCATATATGAAGAGAAAGGGCGTCTTGGTCATGCGGACAGTAGAGAACAACCACATATGCTCTTCAACCATACTTTCACAGGATCACCGGCAACTTAAAGCAAAAAAAGTGGCAAGAACCATTAAGCACCTAATCGAGGCACAACCAGATATCAAGATAAAAGCTATCTTGGCAGAGGTGAAGGATCTGCATTCCTACACCATAAGGTATAAGAAGGCGTGACATGGGAAGCAGAAGGCCATGGCTGAGGTCTACGGTGATTGGGAGGACTCGTATGCTTTACTCCATAGACTAATGTCCGCAATGGAGGAGTCCAACCCTGGGATGGTTTTCGTCCCGTGGTACAACAACGTACAAACTGAAGATCAAGTTCGAGTACAGAACGAGTTGATGTTTCATCGTCTGTTCTGGACATTCAAGCCATGCATTGACGGGTTTCCCTTCTGCATGTCAGTGATTCAGGTATATTACGGACTCAAGCTATTGTACTAGTTCATTACTTTACTAAGTTCAATTTTTACTAACTAATTATTAATTTTAATAGGTTGATGGAACTTTCCTTACTGGGAAGTATAAAGAAACTCTTCTCATTGCCACTGGGGTTGATGGAAATTTAAGTATTTTCCCCTTAGCATTTGCATTAGTTGAAGGGGAGAACAACTTAAGTTGGGCATGGTTCTTTGACCAGCTACACGCCCACGTCACAGAAAGAATGGGTATTACAATTATATCGGATCGACATGCCTGGATTAAACACGCCGTCGGTGGTTTTCCCGACGAATGGGGATGGACATGGCTAGGGATGGCAGTGAAACCCGTACCCGCAGGTACCCGACCCGACCCAACCCGGTCAAACCGGGTAAAATCCGTGTTGACCGGGTTCGGGTCGGGTTCGGGTTTAAACCCGGTGGCTGCTTGGGCGGGTTGGGGCGGGTTCGGGTTTGGGGAACCCGACCCGTGGATACCCGGACACGCAAGTGACAAAACCTAAATCCCTAATCGACCAAGACCATACTCGGCCGCCCCTCTCCTTTCTCCCAAAGACTGCTGCCGCCCCTCTCCTTTCGCAAATCGCGATCTCCAGTCATCCCTACCAGAGTCCAGTCTCCAGTCTGGCACGGCGAACTCTCCTACGCGGCCGCCGCGCCTACGACTCCACTACCGATTCCGTCCCGGCGAACTCTCCTTTCTCCTCTGCTACGCGGCCGCGCCTCCGACTCCTCTCCCGATTTCAGACTTCAGTCACGACGCCCTCTCCCTGCTCCTCGGCGCGCGCCTCCGACTCCACCCCCGCCGCCCTCTCCTTGGTCTTCTGCTCCGCGAGAGCACTTCTGCAAAGGTAAGCAGAATTTATTGCTCTTTGTGCTTCTTCTACAGCAGTATCGAAACCGAAAGTTTTATCCATCAATAAAATGTCATTATCTATGGTCTTTGGTACCCCAACTACAGCTACCTGCAGCTTTCTTTTACGGCACTGAAAACAGGAATTTAGAAGTTATAAATTATAATACTTTGGAGCTTGTACCAGGAAGAAAGTAAGAAATACCGAAATGCCATGCTATCAATTTTAGTAACAGGCACCTATTAAGATTACTTCAATGTTCTGATCTGCCTGGGAATAATACGCTGGAGCTTGTAAAATGAAGAAAGCTAGAAGTACCAAATTGCAGTTCTAAGATGACCACTTCTAATATCAGACACCTATTACAATTACATCAATGTTCTGAGTTTAAGTCTGCCTGAGAATATAATGTCATAGGAAAATCAGAACCAATACATATAGTTCAGATGGACTAGTTTACATCTTAAATTCAATTACATTTTCTAGCAATTCTGGAAAAAGTCTGTTCCCGGTACTTAGACTAGATATCTATTGGCCAACCTTTTATGCTCGATCCCAGGTACCATTATGGCATAACAGTTCCTCAAGAGTATCCTTCTATAAGAGGATTCAGAAAGGAGAAGCTAGGTTGAACTAGCTCGTAAGCCATATAACCAGCACTCAACTAAAACAGACAAAAAGATATAGTAGTACAGGAAATCAATAAGATGTAAGCTTATAAACCTCTTCGTGTATGGCGTTCGCCCCAGCATGTGTACCATTCCCACTTAGTACAAAAATCATGTTGATTCCCTTTTCCTAATAGCATCAAGGCAAAGAATGTAGAATAAGGCCACGCTCAACCTTTAAAGTTAGTATTCAGATCAATACAAAGCGGGTGAGATTTATGCTTGAGATTTTGATAGTTTCTAGTTAATTATTATTTTATAAATATTTACCAAAAAAACCCGCGGTTACCCATCAACCCGCGGATACCCAGCGTGTTGGGTTGGGTTTGAGTTTTTCAAACCCAGCGGGTTTTACCCCGGGTTTTTTTGACGGACAAACCCATGGGTTTGGGTTCGGGTTTGGCAAAACCCGCCCCAACCCGACCCATTGCCATCCCTAGACATGGCGCTGGTGTATTCGTCCCTTCCTTGCCAATTTCCAACACAAATTTGGCAAGAAGAAAGACATAAGAGATCAATTGTGGAGTGCAGGTAGTAATGTAATTCAGTGCTTGTTCATGGTTTATTGTTCAAATGAAATTTCTTATGCCTTAATTATTTATTCTCCTGTCTTGAAGCGGTTTCACATCAACCAAAAAAGTACGAGCAGAAGATGAAGACGATCCGTCAGATACACCGGGCGGGAGCAATATGGGCAGATTGTCAAGATCTGCACATGTGGACATTTCACATGGACAACGGGGCTAGATTCGACATTGCAACTACCAACCATGGCGAGAGCATAAATGGAGTCTACAAGAGCATCAGGGCAATGTCTGTATCTGTCCTAGTGGAGATGACATACTGGAAGGTAAACGAGTGGTTTGTGAAGAGACAGGAGCTCGCTATAGGGAGGGAGTGTGTTGGTCATTCAATAGCACATCATATATTTCATGGCATAGATAGTTCATGGATGACAACACAAGATCAAACTAAATTAAGACGACATAGATAGTTCATGGATGACAACACAAGATCAAACTAAATTAAGACGACATAGATAGTTCATGGATGACAACACAAGACCAAACCAAATTAAGACGACATAGATAGTTCATGGAAAATAACACAAGACTAAACCAAATTAAGACGACAAGATAGTTCACTGGTTGTCTTCATTTCCTTCCACTTCCACTTCCCCTTCTCTTCCTCTTCCTCTTCCTCCACGACCTCCTTGACCCCTTCTTCCGGCTTCTCTACCTCCTCCTTCTTCACGAGCCCGCTAGAAAACTGCTCGCGGATTCCTCTTAACCCGAGCACCCATCGGAGTGTAGTCAGGTGGTGGTGGTGGTGGAGGTGGCTGAGATGAACCCGAAGTGTGGTAGAAAGTCGATGATGTATGTTGTTGTTGCGGGGTCTCATACATCGGAGTTTGTTGCTGATGGTAGAAGTGAGGGATGCCTTGGGGGAACATGTCATGTTCCTGAGTCGGGGCATAGCTTGACGACCCTCCAGTGCCCTCAGTACTAGTTGCCCACTCACAATGTGGCCATGGTTTAGGAAGTTAAGTTTGTTGAGACGGACGAAGCTCTTCAATGTTGGCTCTCACCCTTCTTCTGCTCCTCCGTGGGGGCTCTTGTGGGGGCACGATCCTCTCATCATCACGAAATGAAGGTTGGGCCGGAGCAGGCATTGGAGGGTATAATACGACATCCCTCCTTTGCTCTCGGGTACAAGAGAGCAGGTTGTTGAAAAGCCTCACCAAAAAAGATGTCTTCCGCTCATCCATGGTGGGTGCACTCTCGACAGTTTGCTTGGCATGTTCCAAACCGTCAACCAAATAAATTGTTGTACAAAATTAACTAACATTAAATCTAATAATGTTAATTAACATTCTAGCTAATATAGGCATGTAATCATACTTCAATAAATTAAGACAAAGAGGGAAAAATGGAATTCACTTACCACTGCGCCCCAAACAGCACCTTGCTTTGACACCCATCTTAGCGTGAATTTCCGATACCACCGCATGTACCCATCGTGGTACCCCATTGGCCTCGTCTCCGACACCCCTTGGACCACCCAGTGATCTCTATTCTCCCATATGTTGATGTAGAATTCATGCTTGCGGACCCAATCCTTTTTGGTGTAGTGTAGGTCAATGGCGTGGAGCTCCCTGAACCCTTGAGGCGGGGATGCTGGAATTGGTTGCTCCAATCGATATTAACTCAAAGATCGATCGGGCAGGTGCCATTCCACCATCTGCCAGCAGATTAAGGGCACCTTGCACAACCATGTCTCTTCATCCTCGGGATGTCTAAGACGATGCAACTCAACCACTTCATTTGGATATGGATCCCATACCGCCTACAATCATTATAGTTCATGGAATTAGTACAAATTATATCCACTCCACCTAAAAAATTGAAAATGATGAAATTTTATATTTTTACCCGGTTCCACCAAGGCTTATCAAATTCAGCACGATAAAACAGTAAAGAGTGCTCGGGCTGGTGGTCGTTTGTATTTGCTCCGATCCACCTAATTAAGCAAAAGTACGTATATAAGCAAATTTTAAAGCATAGATGTTTACTTGTTAAGTATGATTGTATGGAAGCATCTAAATTGAACTAAAATTCCTTACTTGGCAATAATCTAAATTCGCTAAATACAATTTGGTTAGAATAAATCTAAATTTGTTTACTTGGAAGATGTCTAAATTCACTAGAATACTATAATTGCAGACTTAAAATGAATCTAAATTCGCTTACTTGGAAGATATCTAAGTTCACTAAAATACTATAATTGCAGACTTAAAATGAATCTAAATTCGCTTACTTGGAATAGATCTAAATTCACTAAAATACTACCATTGCATATCTAAAATAAATTTAACTTACTTGAAGCCATATGGAGGATTTTCTACAAATCGTAGCTCATTAACTGGCAACCAGAATTCTCGTTGGTCTCAAGGTGCAAAAAACGGAAGATGCTCCCATGCCCAGAGCTGGAGTATGAACATCGCCCCACCAGTTTGTTTCACTCCCAACCTCGAGCAAGTACAAAACTCTCGGTAGATCCCAGCCAAGACGGCCGACCCCCAACTTTTTTTCCCGATCTCGTCCCAATCACCGAGGAGCATAGGGGACCACATGCCTTGTATCCACCGGTTTGCCTTGTCGGGGAACAGAAACCCAACAACCAAGCCAATTAGGTAGACACGTGCATACCGCTCCACCTGATCTTCAGGAGTGTCCGGGCCTATATTAACCTCCAACTGGATGTGTTCAACAAGCCATGGGATCGATACTTGCCCCGCATTCAGTGGTGGATGCCCAACCCCTTCGACGGGCGTGGTGGTCGGCATGTTGAACCCCAAACGCTCTTGAATCAACGGCCCCCAACCATCTTCCGGTTTTCTCGAGTTGTTGATGATGGCATCTCCGGTGATCGGGAGCCCGGTAAGGATGGCAACATCTTTGAGGGTGATCGTCATTTCACCCTCGGGAAAGTGGAAGGTATGCAGCTCGGGGCGCCATTGCTCTGCCATTGCCGTCAGTAGATCGTTGTCAATATCAAGCCTCATGAAGTGCCTCAGCATGTGCAATCCCGTCCTCTATAGATAGGGCTCCAGTCGAGCATGCCAACGGTGCAATCGACATGTCCCTCGATGACTGATGGGAATAAGTGATTCCTACTAAACAAAAAAACACAATGTTGTCAGTCAATAGAAAGCAAAATAAAAACTTTAAAACTAATGAAATAATTTTAGTGTCTAACGGATTATTGTTCCAAATTGCACGGGAGCGATGTTGATCTTGCCCGGTTAAATACCTTTTATCCTTTGGACCAGGATCGATATACAATCGAGGGTCGTATATCTCAGCACCCATCTATAAAAAAATATGAAATCAAATCAATTTATATTTCAGCTCCCATTTAAAAAAATCACAAAAGAATAAAATAAATTTACGTACTCTCAGAGCCTCTTTGTCCATTTTTTGCCGAAAAGCTAGAGAGACTATCGACAAAACAAAAACTCTAGTAATTCTTTCAGATGCGGAAGATCGGACTTAGCCGCAACCACAGAGTATACTTAGAACGGAACTAGAGTGAAGTAACGGAGGGAGAAAAAAGTATAAAATGGTGGTGTGGTTTGAAATGAGAGGGGGGGGGGGAGTGGTATTTATAGGGGGAAGGGGAGCTGGAAATTTCAGGGCACCAATCACCGCGTTCCTTAAAAGCAGTGAACTCACCGCGTTGGAGGAAAGCGGTGATGGCTCGGATTGCTGGCGTGGCGACATGTGAGGCGTCGGATCGTGGAGAAAAACCACAATCCGCGCCTCACCGCATCGGACGGCAGCTGTGAAGGGCGCAGACGACAAGGATCGATGACGTGGCGGGCGGGGCTATCACCGCTTTTATCTCTAACGGTGAAGTGCCCGCGCGCGTCCACGTCAGCGATCTGCGCCACTTCACCGTCTTTTACATCAATGGTCAGGGGGGCTTCACAATTTCCCTTATTAACGATCAGACTATCCCATCTTTAACTAACGCGGGGATTGATTCACTGTTTTTTCCAAAACGGTGATAGCATCACTATTTTTGTCAAAAGCGGTGATGCAATCACCGTTTTGGACAAAAACGGTGATTCTAATCACTGTTTTGGTCTTCGACAATGATGTTGAAACTGCTGTAGTTTGGGAAATAATTTTATAAGTACTGTATTTAGTGATTTTTTTTTAATAATTAGAGTATTCTGTGATTTTTTCCGTGGAGCATAATAGAAAAACGAATGGACAAGAACCAGTTTGGAAGAAAAATAAAGTATTATCCATTTGCTCAAATAAAAAGAAGGAAAAAGAAGGCCATGTAATGGAATTGGGGGAGTCATTTTCTGTTAGATTACCTTGAGCTTAGAAACAATAAGAGCGAAACAAGAACAGATTTACATGGTTTCCAGTATTGCAGATCGCAATACCGACTAGTCCACGGGGAAGACGGATCTCTTATTCAGCTTAATCAACACACTCGGTTACACATCAATATATATATGCCGAAAACCCTAGCAAGCAAACCCTAGCTCTCTCTTCGTACAAGTTTGCATGGGCATGGGCTTAGCACATATACATAAATGGGTAATTAAATGGGCCGAGACACCAATCAGAGACCCCCAAACCCAGCTCGGCTAACAGCCTCCACCAAATTGATGCCGGTCACGAAGCATCAATTTGCCACCCAAGAACCAATGACGACTGATAGGGAGGGCCTTAGTGAGAATATCATCAATCTGATCTTCAGAACTGACATAGTGTAACCGAAGAGACCCATCACGAACCTGATCACGAACATAGTGAATGTGAAGCTCGATATGCTTAGTGCGATCATGAAGCACCGGATTGAGTGCAATCTGAATTGCACTCGTGTTGTCCACGAAGAGATCAACAGGGGGCGGACAATGAACTCCAAAATCCGCCAGTAAACGAACCAACCAGGCAACCACGGAAGCAACATCAGACATTGCGCGATACTCGGCTTCCGTTGAAGATTTCACTACGCGATCCTGCTTTTTACACCTCCAGGAAATGAAAGAGTCGCCAAAAAGAACACACCACCCAGAGGTAGACCGGCGAGTGTCACTACACCCTGCAAAGTCTGAATCGGAGAACGCCTGCAAGGACAATGATCCAGTCGAGGGGAAAAACAACCCAACATCCTTCGTGCCCTGGAGGTACCGAAGGATCCGATGCACGGCCGAGAGATGATCAAGGTGAGGTTGCGTCATAAACTGACTAACAACCTGCACAACATATGAGATATCAGGACGAGTCGCAGCTAGGTAGATTAAACTGCCCACAATGCTCCTGTACGTCAAGCCATCCGTCAGTGGAGCACCAGAGTCACGACGAAGCTTTAAGTTCAGCTCCATTGGCGACCGAACAGGGGTACAGTCAGAGAATTGATGATCCTCTAACAAGTCGGTGATATACTTGCTCTGTGTCAAGAGAATTCCACGAGAACTGCGCACTACTTCAAGGCCGAGAAAGTAATCAAGAGTACCCAAATCCTTAAGATCAAAAGCAGCACTAAGACCATCCTTGAGCAACTGGATACCAGCCGCATCATCCCCTGTGACAACCATATCATCAACGTATAACAGAAGGGCAACAATACCAGTGGATGTCACACGAGTGAAGAGAGAAGGGTCATTCAGGCTTTGCTAAAATCCCAGCTGAAGAATGGTAGCCTGAAACTTGTCAAACCATGCCCGAGGGGCCTGCTTCAAACCATACAGAGACCGATGAAGAAGACAAACCTGCCCCGGAGCACCCAGAGTATAGCCTGGTGGCGGTTCCATATAAACCACCTCCTTGAGATCACCGTGCAAAAAAGCATTCTTCACGTCGAGTTGATAAAGAGGCCAATTCCGCACAGCCGCGACAGCCAGAAGTGTACAAACTGTAGTCATCTTTGCTACCGGAGCAAACGTCTCGTCATAATCCACGCCCTGTTCTTGAGTGTAACCTTGAGCAACGACCCTGGCTTTAAATCGCTCAATGGTTCCATCAGGATGTACCTTGATATTGTACACGCATCGACTGCCGACAACCGGAACTGGTGGAGGAGGCCGGTCCACCATGGTCCACGTACGATTCGCATGAAGGGCATCCATCTCAACCTTCATAGCATTGTCCCAATTTGGATCGCCATGTGCCTGTTTATAACGTGTAGGAATTGCAATGGCAGCAACTCCATAAGCTTGATAGTCATTAAAGCGTACGGGAAGTTGACCCAAATTACGACGTGAGGAGCGCCGAAGAACAGGAGCAGGAGGCGGTGATGCCTCGTGGGAGCTCGACGGACCAGGTGGAGACTCGAGGCCAGAGGAGCTGGCGCTGGCAGGCGAATCACTCGGCAATGAAGTTCTGGATGAGCTGCTGGACGAGCGGCTGGACGAGCTGGCCGAGGGGCCAGGCGAGCTGGCCGAGGAGCCAGGAGAGGTGGCCGAGTGATCTGGAGAACTGGCCGAGGGGCCAGGCGAACTGGCCGAGGGAGACGCCGGTGGGGAGAGAAGCAGATCGAGGTCATCGGGCGGAGGGAACTCTTCATCAGCAGCAACATCATCTTCATCAAACGTAGGAAGGGTAGGTAGCTGGGAAAGGAAGGAAAGTGAGGATGGCTGGGATTTGGAATAGAAAGACATGGATTCAAAGAAGACAACGTTACAGCTTATACGAATTCTCTCTAGGACGGGGTCAAAACATAGGTAGCCTTTGTAGACATCACTATAGCCTAGGAACATGCAACGAGCAGCTTTGGACGACAGCTTATTTCGTTCACGCTTAGGAGTCAAAACAAAACAGGTGCACCCAAATACACGAAGACAACGATACTCGGGACGTTTCAAAAAAGGGGGAAATAAGGGCTTTTGTTGTCAAGAACAGGTGTAACTTGATAGTTGATGAGACGGACCGCAGTAGCAACTGCTTCCGGCCAGAATTCAGGAGGAACATGAGAATCAAGCAGGAGAGCACGGGTAAGTTCAACAACATGCCTGTTCTTCCGTTCAACTAGGCCATTTTGCTGGGAAGTACCGGGACATGACTTCTGACATACAGTCCCGAGTGATCGATAGAGATCACGGAGGGGATGAGAGCTAAATTCCCCACCAGGATCAGACCGCACAATCTTAACTGGCCTATCAAACTGGGTGCGGATCATTTTTAAAAACTCGGTGGCAACTGAAAGCAAATCGGACTTGAGTCGGAGGAAATAAACCCAAGTAAAACGAGTCGCATGATCGACAAACAATGCAAAATAGCGAAAACCAGAGCGTGAAACCGTGGGAGAAGGTCCCCAAAGGTCTGTATGGATAATATGAAACGGCTCAGTAATCAAGGTTTTACTAGGAGGGAACGAAATGCTCTTGAGTTTTGCTTCAACACAACTTGTGCACTCATGGGAAGAGGAAATGCCACTTTTATTAAAACCCAGCAATTGTTGTTTGAACATAAACATAAGACGGGCCGAATTGGGATGGCCTAAACGAGCATGCCATAGCTCCCAAAGCTGTTATTGATCGACTCAAAGAATTTGAAACACTAGACACCAAAGAACCATGACTACTGACAACCCTAACCGAAGGACTACTGACAGGAGGGCAACTAATTGGTGGCAAAATCTCCGATCGACTCGTGAGCTCCTCAAGGTGAAAAACACGTCCCTGTTTACTCCCTCGCCCGATCTGCCTCCCCGTCTTCAGGTCCTGGATAACACAACCTGAAGGTCCAAATGAAACAGAGCAGCCTTGCTCGGTCAGTTGTCCAACAGAAACAAGATTAGGCACTAAATCAGGGACATGTAACGTATTTGGTAGAGTAAGCTTAGGAGATTTAATCTGACCAATGCCATGAACTTTCAAACGTTGCCCATTAGCAACCCGTAGGATCATATCCGAAACTGGAGATTTATCACACAATTTGCTAGCATCGTTGGTCATGTGATTAAAACATCCGGAATCGAGAATCCAGGGAGGAGTCATACCTGTAACCTGAAGGGCAGCAAAGGCGCTGCTGATCGCACCGGGCAGCGAGCGTTGAA